GATACCGAGTAACCCCATAAAACACACATGGGACACTCTGTATAGTAGTACCGTACAGCAACCTGAATCTGTTGGCTACTCTTGTAAACAGTAACACTTAGCACCGGAACTGCCAGCCATACTACTCAAATTCCATAGCCAAAATATCTTCCGTCAACTCACTCTTATTATACAGGGTGGCGCACCTCATTCGCCTCGGTTCATTATACGAAAACGGAAAGATGTAGAAACAATATATTTTATGGGTATATGTGGAAAGGCAAAGTGCATAATAATTTAAGGAATTAAATAATTATTATATTTAGTATCATCCAAGAACGGTAGGATTGCTCATCCTCATAAGACGTACGTTCGCCTCTTGCCGCGCTTCAGCTGACAGTTGTGACTGCTTATACATATATTGCATTAATTTTTCTGCTACCTTAAGATTTTTCTATTCTTACACCTAATTTATGTGATTTTCTTAGCATATATGATTTATAAATAATATTTTTCGTAATGGAAGGATATGCAAGTATTAAGATATCTTAACATTTATTCTCCACACCACAAAGCATAATGTGCGTTGTATTAAGACATAAAAAAATTATTAGAAATATCTTAATATTAATCACAAACTAACTTAAGTTTTGCTTAAGTCTTAAGTTGGTATGTGTATAAATTTAATGAGATCAAAAATAAACCTTGCCTTCACCATATTATCAAGATAATAAATAATAATTTTAATTTTGGCATTACAGGAAACAAGAAATTAAGTAAATTAAGAAAAGAATATCAAAGTACAGGATATTAAATACTGTAATGTATTCTACGACATAATCCATATAGCTTATATTTTAATCCTATCAGCATTCTTCGATAAAATATGTGCCTAAGCAATTGCTATTAACCCACTAACTTGATATTTTTAAGAAATTATGATACAAACACACTACAATCAAACTAAGTAAAATGTTACCTCTATCTCATCGACTTGTGCTATAAAACTCGTCAAGCGGTATACCTAGTACTTCAATACATATAATTGATATACCTAGAGTACGTTCCACTAAGCACTCATAACGTTCACGCTCAAGATCGCGATTTTTCCCGTTCCACTTGCTTGCGAGCGTTAAAATCATAAACTCAAGTGGAATGGGTATGGGGCGTTTTAAGCGTCAATCTTGTCAATGTATGTAAATAAATAGTAAATAATAGTCAAAATCACAGAAGAGAATTCAAAAAATCTGTATAAAAAAAAAGAAATCAAAATGTCTTTGGCGACAGTTGGATATTTGGTGCATCGGAATGTGTCTGAAACTCCTTCATCTAGTTTAGACGAATTAATAGTGGAATGCAATTTTACAAAATCGCGACGTAAAAAGCGAACACTTAGGCCACGTATTATTGGCTATGAGAATCTATGAAAATTTTTATCCTAAGTCGATAATCTTTTGTCTAAGTTTTAAAAATTGCGCCAAAATTCCTCAACGTCCACTTCGATCCTAATATTCAGATGGGTCGTTGTGAGCTCGGCGTGAACGAAAATAATGACGTCATTAGTGACGTTTACGCCGCAACCACAACGTCCGCGATCGTCATGTGGAACGACCGAAAGCATATTTTGAGCATTATGAGCGCTTAGTGGAACGCACTCCTAATCAACAACAACTTGGATGTAATAATAAATGTGTCATATTGATGATACAAAAAAATTCTAATAGGTTTAAAACCAATAAGAAAAAATCCGTAAATGATAATTTTTAAATCTATTGTAAATATATAAATAAATGGTATTATTATTACAATATTATATTACTTACAACACTTACAACTCCGATTACAATCATAATACCTTAACTTCACAATCTCCATTATCCTTCTTACCTTAAGTTTTGATCAAGATAAATCTGAAATTATAAAATGAATTATAGAATTTGTATTATTGCTGATTAACACTAAAAAAATCGTTTGTTTTCTACTGTAAATAATTCGAAAATAAACTGCCATTTGGCAACATCGACGATGTGCGCTTGCGTAGTATCGATGATCAAATGCAGCAAATACAGGCTTCAAGGTCAGCCACCGGATCCACACCAGGGTTCGGAAAACTACATGTTACTTTTAAAAACTACATAAACTACATTACATGTAGTTAATGTAGTTTATGTAGAGGATGTAATTTATGTAACCTATGTATGTAACTTTCAAATATCAAAGGTTTGAGGTGAGGTTATAATAAGTTGAAGCGGTAAAGGTGTGGATCCGGTGGCTGACCTTGAAGCCCATATTTGCTGCATTTGATCATCGATACTACGCAAGCGCACATCGTCGATGTTGCCAAATTGCAGTTTATTTTCGAATTATTTGCAGTTGAAATTTTTTTTTTGCGTGTTAATCAATAAGAATAGAAATTCTATAATTAATTTTATAATTTCAGATTTATCTCGATATCCAAAATTAAGGTAATAAGGATAATGAAGATTGTGAAATGAAAGTATTATGAATATATAAAATTGTAATAATAATAACATTTATATATATATTTACACTAGAGTTAAAATTTATCATTTACGGATTTTTTCTTAATGGTTTTAAACTTATTAGAATTATTTTATTTCTTTCAAGTTATTTAATTTCTAGTTATTTACAGGCAACAATAGTTTTGATTATATATGTATTGATGTTTTGAAGTACTGCCATGACGAGTCTTATTATAGAACAATACACGTCAATCGGAGATAGAGGCTTTGGTTATAATTAATGTTTGTATCATAATTTCTTTAAAATATCAAGTTAGTGGATTGATAGCAATTTTAGACATATATTTTATCGAAGAGTGTGTTGATAAGACTAAAATAAGCTTTATGTTTTATCTTTTTCTCTTTAGAAGGGAGATGGTTTGTATCGTAGAATACATTACAGTATTTAATATCGTGTACTTTGATATTCTTTTCTTAATTTACTTCAATTTCTTGTTTCCTATAATGCCAAATCTTGACAATATGGTGAAGGTTGAGTTTTGATCTTATTAGTTTTATAAGAATAATAATAATAATAGAAATACAAGACTAAATTAAGACTTAGTTTGTGATTTATATTATGATCTCTCTTATAATATTTGTTGTCTTCATCTTAATACTATATTATACTTGGTCTGGAAAATAAAAGTTAAAATATCTTAATTTTGCATATCCTATTCCATCCTTCCATTAGGAAAAATATGGTTTATAAATCATATATGCTAAGAAAATCACATAAATTAGGTGTAAGAATAGAGAAATCTTAATGTAGCAGAAAAATTAATGCAATATATGTATAAGCAGAATTAAACAAGGTAACTGATGATGTTAATGTTGCTGAAGCTGATTCTACAATTTTAGTTACGGAGGCTAAAAGGCCTTTTAAGGCCTCCGTAGTTTTGATGAAATGTTAAAAAAAACCTATTATGAACATGACATGGAGCTACAGCTTAAAAAAAAGAAAAAACTTGGACACATCCCTTTTAATTTCCCGAATTTTTAATAAAGCACTTTTTAAACGTAACATAATAATCTAGATAGGAATCTAGAGTTTTATTTCTATATAATTTTATTGACTATGAAAATACATAATAAGCGTTCACGTGTTGTGCGAAATATTAAAATAATAATATAAATAATATACCGCATACTATAAAAAAAAATAGCGTCAGCGATGACTATGAAATGAAGATCACTGTCATTTTATATGGGAAATGTCCTCAATCGTCATTTCCCAGCCAACTGGACGCCGTTTTTTCGATCATACGGTATATATTGACAAAAAAACACTGAAAAGCACATATTTGTTTTCTACTGAAAATAATTCCAAAATAACTCGCAATCTGGCAACGTCGAAGGTGTGCGCATGCGTAGTGTCTGTGACTATATACAGCAAAAATTCGTTTCAAGGTCAGCCACCGGATCCACACCATTACCGTTGAAGCTTTAAAAACACATAATGTATTTCAGAAAACAGAAGAAATATAGCTTTAAATATAATATTTACATCATATTATCTCTATGATACCTCATACAAAGGAAAATTATTCAGAATATCAATACATAGTTTATTAATGTAGTTTTCATGTAGTTAATGAACGGGAAAAGCCGTAGTTTTCGAAGAAAAACTACACGTAGTTAATCAGGTAAATTACGTCTTAATTAACTACTTCCGAACCCTGATCCACACCTTTACCAATACCAATAGATGTTTCTGTGTGTGACGCTCGACGCCAGGGTTCGGAAGTAGTTAGCTGAGACGTAATTTACCTGATTAACTACGTGTAGTTTTTCTTCAAAAACTACGTTTTTTCCCGTTCATTAACTACATTAAAAATACGTTAATAAACTAAGTATTGATATTATGAATAATTTTGCTTTGTATGAGGGGTCTAAATATGATGTGTGAATATTATATTTAAAGCCATATTTCTTCTGTTTTCTTAAATACATTGTGTTTTCTAAAGCTTCAACTTATTATAACCTCACCTCAAATCTTTGACATTTGAAAGTTACATACATAGGTTACATAAACTACACCCTCTACATAAACTACATTAACTACATGTAATGTAGTTTATGTGGTTTTTAAGGGTGCAGCCACACTATCCTAAAAACGGCGTAACGGCGTAACGACCTTGAATCGATTTCCAGTAATTCTATTGGCTGAAATTTTTGACAGATGAATTTGACAGATAAAATTTCTGACAGATGAATGTTTCAGCCAATAGAATTACTGGAAATCTATTCAAGGTCATTACGCCGATACGCCGTTTTTAGGATAGTGTGGCTGCACCCTAAAAGTAACATGTAGTTTTCCGAACCCTGCTCGACGCTCAATGTCACCAACTATTTATAGATCAACCCTGCCATGGATATACCACGTTTTTTACAGTAAAAAAATGGTATTGGTTTTGACACACCCATCCTTGATTACTTCTTACCGATTTTTTTTATCTGTGGTTTAAATGTAAACCATATGACGTGACAAGTGTCAGTTATCACTTGTCACGTCAATTTCTGTTTACTTCCTCAATGTGTAGTTGATAAACTATTTTTGTGTTTTTAATAATTTTTAGTTATAATTAAATTAACATTCACTATTTACTACTATAATTACTATGACAAGTAAAACTAATTCTATAGATGCACGTCAAGAACTCGCAGATTTGGTAAAAAGAAAGGCTGAAATTGGCGTAAGTATATATTTGAGGCTTCTGTGTTTGAGCTTATAAATTAACTAGACTCTATTGGAAACATTTTTGCAGGAAACCCTAGCAAGTTTGGAAAGACAAATTTATGCATTTGAAGGTTCATATCTGGAAGATACACAACTGTATGGAAATATAATACGAGGGTGGGACAGATATCTGTCAAGTAACAAAACAACAAATTCCAAAGCAGATAAACGGAACAGGAAATTTAAGGAAGCTGAAAGACTATTCTCAAAAAGTTCAATTACCTCTATGGCTGTAAGCATATTATAATAGGTCTCTTAATATATTAAAAAAAAAATATTTTCAGGCTGTTAGTGGAATTGCAGATCAAAACCAGGAAAAAAGTAAGAACTATGAGCTAGATAGTAATCCATATGCTTATAGTAGTAGCTAGAAATGTATTGTTTTTTCATATATTTTAATATTAATTTATATGTATATTTCATTTTAAACTTTATTAATAAATATTTTAAGAGTTTTTTTTGTTTTTTTTTGCATGACATTTACTTGCATATTTTCTCTTAAAATAGTTTTTATATTCAAAGCATGAATAATTATACTATATTTTTTTTAAATGTTGAAATATTGATTTATAATAATGAAAAATAAGTTATTTCTTAACAAATCACTCATTTCGCAGTGGATAGAAATTCTGACGATTCACAAATAAATGATGATTCAAATGACACAAATACACCGATGAGTAATAATATTGATGCAGACATTAAAATCACTGGAAAACTAACTACTAATCCATTTTCTACCAATGGATCACTTAATGGAATTGAAACAGACAGTCCTTCTCGAGATAGTGCAGTGAAGCACAAGAATTTTAATACAAATGGGAAGAAAAATATAAAAAAATTTAAACAAAGGTAAAATTGGATTTACATAATGGAGGTTATGCATTTGCAGAATAAATATAGGGCCCAGGACTTTTAAATGCATTTAGTGCACTATATAGCAAGATAATCTATAGGGTTAACAAAATGTTTTATTTAGATACATTCTTATTGTTAAGATATGTATTTATTATATACCATTTAATATCACAAGTCATTTTATTATTTATTCTATCACTAGTTTTCTGTAAAGATTAATTATTATAAATAGAGATGTATATATACATTTTTAACGTATTTACCTAACAGACACACTATAAATACTGTATGATCGAAAAAAAACTGTGTCCAAGTGGCTTGGAAATGAATATAAATGACAGTCCCCATATAATTTTCAGCGAGATAGCGATCTTCATTTCATAGCCATTGCTGACGCCGTTTTTTTTTCGATCATATTGTATTTAGTTACCACAACTTATTTTATGTACTTAAACTGTTAAGTACTTTGGCAAACCTCGATTCTATAAAATAAAAACAAATAGTCAATACTAGCAATTTGTAATCTTAATTTAATCTACTTACGCTGTATTATAGTTGGAGAATTCTTGGTTGTATATAATTTTATTAATATATAATAAGACACAGTCAGAATAAATACCATAACTGTAGAACATATAAAAATATATTCATTGTGCTTTCGGAATTTACAACATTTAACTCCCCAATATATCCAAGTATCATTCATCTACAAATAAAATGTAATCCGGAGGAAGATATTTCAGGTTTTATTTCTCACCACATCAACAATGTCCATACAAACACCAATTTTCTCGTTTTCATTGCTTATACTGACATAATAACTTTGTAGATCTGTATAATACTCCATACATTTTGAACATATATTACTAGAATTAGTTGTAATGCAATTGTTAAAATTATTGTAATATCCATTAAATTTCAATGTTTCATCAGAAACATTGGTTGAGGGAACACCATTAGAAGTGACAAAACATTCTAAAAAGCATACATAAAATTTATATAAAATATAAAAATTAGATATCATTAGATTATAGTACTGTATTAGTGTATTATCGAAAAAAAAACGGTGTCAGCGATGGGGCTATGAAATGAAGATCGTTGTCATTTTATATATAAAATTAAGTAGGGAATGTCAACGATCGTCACTTCCAAGCCATATACAATACAAATTTAATATTGTGTACATCAATATACAATTTAAAAAAGTTTACCATAACACTTTGCTCGACTCCATAAATTTTTACTATTTTCAAATAAAGTTTCCACTATGCCTAATCGATCTAGATTTATAAAGTGATTTAAACATGGAGTATCATTGGCAGGGAACTAGAAAAAAATATATTTATATAGGATATGCTTAATATATAATATAAATTTACCTTGGACATATTAGAGTAACTTTCTAGCAAATAGATATATTGTTGAACACAATTTTCGCAAAATTTAATAGGTCTTGAATAATTAATAGAACAACTAATAAATTCAGAAGATGCGTTGGCGAATCTATTTCTTAAATCTGTACATTGATCGGTATAGATCATGGTTATTCCCCTAAAATAACATAAAATAAATACTTTTAAGCATTAATATTCCATTTAAATCTCCGAGAACTACTCACAAACTAAGAAGAAAAATCCTTAAAACTATTTCCAACACTTTCATGGCGGCTATTGTACACAAAGACCACAAAGCTCTTTATTCTTTATAAATTTGCTTTACATTGTCTGTAACTTTGTAATAAATCTCTGATAAAGTAATAATTAGTAATAATTCAAAAGAATAAACAAAACATATAGGTTATAATCAGGGTTGCCAGCTCTCGAAGATGAACACCCGCTCGCGCAGTTTAGTGCTGGGCAAAGGTGCAGGACATCGATGTTAACATCGAAAGCAAACATCGATGACTTTTAAAAACATCAGTAAAACATTTTCCGACGCCGTTCTTATTGGCCATAGCATTTTCGCGCCACTTTTCATCCATAATTTTTTTACTCTAGCCCGTCAACGGAGAAAGATCGTACGATAACGAACGAATTTTAAAAAAGTGTCAAAACGTCCGTTTTCGTACGAAGCTTTGAATAAGAAGACTAAAGCCGGAGTCTCATGCATCCGAAATCCGATGACACGACGATCCGACGGTGCTCCTATTGGTCGAAATATTTTGACAACAATTTTTATCCGATAATTTTAACTAATCATCCGACGTCGTATAAAGTTAAATTTTGTTTAACTTTTGTACGATATCGTGTGTTTTTAACCTCACTTTTTTGAAAACATTTGTTTTAAAAAAAGTTTAGTGGGAAGTGGGCAATTTTGGGATTTTTGGCGAGGAAGTTGTTTTTATAAGTGTTTCTCTAATAAAACATGACATGAATCTCTATTCAGCGCAGCAGAAAAATGTTAAAACTGTCAAATTTCGGAACGAACTTTCGGATGTATGTGACAGGCTTTTTTTATTTCACACGATAACTTCAAATTTCGGATGTCGTACCATCGGATTTCGGATGCATGAGACTCCGGCTTAAGGAAGGAGCATATCAAAAATCTTAGGTACACCGCGATGGACCTCAAATATGGCCGACTTAAATTCCGGTTTATCAGTGTCGTTCTAATTTTATTTAAAAAATGTAAAACTATGATGTTAGGGTAGACGTGGGGTAGACTCAATAATTTGTTGTTTTATTTTACGTTGTGAATAAATGTTGGTAGTTATTAAAATTGTTATAAAAATATATAATTCTAATAAAAATAGATAAGTTATAATAAGTATTTATTAACACAAACATCCGATACGCTACTGAAGCAGGTAAGTCAAATTAACGTATCTAAATTCTTTGACATCTAATCTTTGATAAGTAATAAATAAAAGCTAAAATGCAGAAAAATATATAATTTAGTTAATTTAAGTGAATTTCATAAATGATCGGTTTACTACACGTATATTATATAGTCACTTACTAGCGAAAAGTTGTTCCATTATTTCACTCAATTTTTGCCGAGATCTACCGCACGCTACACAACCAACTATTTTAGAGTGTTTTTCGATAAATCGCGATAGTGTCACTATTAATTTAAGTTCTGCCACAATTTCCATCTAGATTTACTACCTTTATACAACTATCAGTAGTAGAATAAATAATAAATAACATAAAATAAGCTCCGTAAAGACTGACAAATCCACAAAATTTCAAATCAAATTCAAATGTGTCAAATGAATCGTCAAACAGAACTGTCAAGGATCCCCACCCTAGAGAGCTTTTATGGTGGCTTTTCCGCCCACATGCCGCCCACCATGCATGAATACATGGATAGCATTATGCTCCTTCCTTAGTCTTCTTATTCAAAGGTACGAAGGGTACGATCTTTCTCCGTTGACGGGCTGGAGTAAATAATTTACGGGTGAAAAGTGGGGCGAAAACGCTATGGCCAATCAGAACGCCGCACGCTGGTCGATTTTCGGCGAAATGTGGCAAAAAGTAATAAAAACAAGATTCAAATTACCCTGTCAGAAATGTTTCAAATGTACCAGGCAAAACACCAAATAAACAAGTTGGCTATGAAAAAAAGTTGAAAAAGTGTCGTCTTGTTACTTGACAACAATTTCAAAACAAACTGTCACTTGGAATACCATTGTGTTAATTATGGTGTTAATAAACATTAAACATAATTTGTTAAATTGTTATTACGGTTTTTAGTACCCTGTAATTTTGGAAAAGCGTTTTTTACCATGAATGATAATTCTGGAGGTGTGTATTTAATATTTAAGTAAAAATATGTACTTTTTATTTTGTTTTGGATAAAGAATTATGCAAAGAAATGGAGAATGTACTTTCGCATTTATTTTTCACGATTTTACGTAGTTTTAAATCGATTTTATCACTGCCGCTCGTTTCCCATTATAAATATATTATTTCCTCCTTATACCGTATGATCGAATAAAAACGGCGTCAGCGATGATGGCTATGAAATGACGATCGATGACATTTCCCATATCGTTTTACATATAAAATGACAGCGATCTTCATTTCATAGCCATCGCTGACGCCGTTTTTATTCGATCATAGATATTTTTAACGTTCAGGTTATTTTCTTGTTGCAAAATATTTTTTGCCACGTTTCGGCGAAAATCGACCAGTGTGCGTCGTCGGACCATGGTATCACAGGTGGTATCAACAAGGTATCAACGGATAACGGACGCCCGAAAATCAAACTACTCCTATAGAGGCCGGCTAATTTAACTGTGTTCACAGATTTGTCAAAAGTCAGCGTTAGCATCCCATAGCGGCCATGGCCAAATTGCGCAACACAGGCTGTTGCACAACGAGTTGCCAATGTATAGTAACGTTTGATGCGTTGCGCAATTGTTTGATAAGTTTCAAAAATGTTTGAATTCTTTTGTGCAACAAATAGGCATCACGTTGTAACTTTTATTTCTATTACAAGATCTTCAGAATAGTTAAATAGGCTTGATTTTATACGAAAATAGCGAACAAGTGTGGTGGTAATTCTCACAATTTGTGTCAGAGAATATTCAGATTGTACTAGTTGAAATTTAAATGAAAATCATTACAAATTGTAGCCCTACTACTAACTATATATTTTTGTTTCGTTTCTTTGACTATGTATTTTTTTCTTTTTATTCTTGGCTTTAGGTCGTTGGAGTTGCAAAGATGTTACTGGATTTTGTTCATTATTTTATTTTTATCGACGACGTTTCGACAGTATATGTCTTTTTCAAGTCTCTTGAACGTAGATTCCTACAGAATTAAAATTGTTAAAAATTGGGCACAATAACTTAAATAATTTATGGCACAATAACACATATTAAAACTATTATTTTAATTGTTTAGGGACATCACACTTTAGTATACAGCAAGGCGATTGAAACGATGAATATGTTTTATACAAAACGGTCTGCGAGAAAATACGTGCTGTATGGCTGTATACTAAAGTGTGATGTCCCTAAACAATTAAAATAATAGTTTTAATATGTATTATGTGCAACGACCTAAAGCCAAGAATAAAAAGAAAAAAAAATATTTTTATTTTACTACTATTTATTTTTTTGACGCAAAATTTGCTGTTACTGCACACTATTGTAAACTGAGTTGGGGAAGAATAATAACTTAGCTAATAAAATATACAGGTTGTTAATTGGACAGTTACTTATAGGGGAACAGAATGGTAACACTGCCTATTGAGAACGCATGCACTTATAGGGTTTTCTGCCGATTCGTCCCGTCGCGTCGTCTATCGACGAGCGGGTCGAAGTTGCCATATTTCAACTATAAGGGCTCGAACACACTGACGACCAGGTCGCACCGGCCAGGCCGCTGCTACCTCTAAAACCATTAAATCAAATGATACTGCGCACACTAACGTCCTGGCCGTCCGTTGGTCGTTGCGATCAGTAGACTTCACTAAAATATTATAATTTTCTGCCGCTTGTTGCCGGTTTTCTTCCAAATTAATAATTTTTCAGATGAAATCCCTCAAATTCAACGCACAATATTTTATTTTCTATAAGATATAGTGTTTTAATGTAATTTTTGCACAAGTGCTGGAAATTATTTTCAAGTTTGTAAAACGGCCGCTAGAGGGCGCAACTGCTATGGAAAATAAGAAAATAGATTTTTTACAGAATTTTGCTTAAATAATGGGTACTATAAATAACAGCTTCATAATCTTCAGTAAATTTTGGATTTTTTTTGTTAGAACCATTTCCCGCTATCTGCTAAAATAAAAGTGGTGGGGGAAGGTTAGTTCTATCTTTATTTAAATGTTAATAACTCCGGACTGGATGATCAGAATCCGACAAACGAGGGCTCGTTTAAAGGAGCGTTTCTTACTCTATATTATGCCATAAAAATAAAAATAATAAGGTTTTGAACGTAAACGCTAGGGGGCGCTTTCTTACAATTTAACAAACATAGCGCGTTTTTTCAAAAAAATTAAATACGATAGTATGTGTTATTTTAGCTAATAGTAAGGAGTAGTAAAAGTTTTAAAAGTCAGCGAAAACCTCAACTTGATATCTTCTTTCAAATCGAAGATATTAGCAAGATTATAATAAATACCAAAAAATAAGCCCTTAATTACTTTATTTTTTCAATACAGTATCAGTAGCCCTCTTGATTAGGCCCATTCTAACAAAAAAATGAGATAGAAACAGTTAGTTTATTTTAAAAGCGACGAAATACCAGAATACCATAACATCAGATGTATTAATATCTAATAATTAAGATAATAATAGTGAACAAGACACGATGATTCAGTGAAGTCATGGTAGGCTTTGGAAAAAAGTTGCTTTTCGCGTAATAGTATAAACGTCAAATTGTTATTAGATCAACATTTTGATAGTCTTAACAGCGTTTTTTATCGTTTAAATGTTTTTTCAAAATGCCTGTATTATTTGAAGTAGTTGGAGTTGTTGGTTAATTTAAGTACAATTATGTTTGTTAAATTGTAAGACAACGCCCCCTAGCGTCTACGTTTAGAAGCTTATTATTATTGTTTATACGGTACAATATAGAGTAAGAAACGCTCTTTTAAACAAGCCCTCGCTTGTTGGATTTCGATCATCCAGTCCAGAGTTATTAATATTCAAATAAAAACAGATCTAACCTTCCCCCATCACTTTATTTTGGTAGATAGGGGAACATGGTTCTAACAAAAAATATTCAAAATTGACTGAAGATTATGAAGCTATTACTTATAGTACACCTTATCTAGGCAAAATTGTGTAAAAACTCCATTTTCTTATCTTTTGTTGCAGTTGCACCCTCTAGCGGTCGTTCTACAAACTTGAAAATAATTTCCAGCAATTTCCCATAGCCTCTTTAGTTATAAATATTTTTTTCCGCAGCCGCTACGGCTAATACTTTCCAAGATACAGCCGAGAGCTATTCTTAGTGGGACACCCTGTACAGGGTGGGTCAAATTCGACGCTTTTAAATGGAAACACCCTTTTCTATAGGAGATAGAGAAAAACTAATATCGGTGTCTGGAGCTCAATTTTCATCAAAAAGATGATGGTGAAAACTGCATATCAATATCTGTTACCGTTTCGGAGTTACGGGATGTTTTTCAAAAATTTGCATTTTTAACAAATCGCTGTAACTTTTTTACTATGGAAAATTTTGTATTTCTATGAAAACATTTCCAAAGCACCTTTTTACGTAGAATTTAATGGTTTAAGTATAATTTTTTTAAAATTAAAAATTTAAGAGTTATCAACAGAAAAATAGTTTTTATATTTGGGACACCCTCTATATTTTTAATTAACTAAAAAAAATTTAAAATTACCTTTCCAAAAATATAGCATACTTGATATTTTGTTATAATCCCCTTAGAAATACAGAAATTTTAAAAGTTCGCCACTTTTAACTAGTAGGCTTTGGACCCCTTATTGATGATATGCCCTTAATGGAACTCGAAAACATATTTTTCCAGCAAGACGACGTACCGCCTCTGAACGCTAAAGTTATCAGCAAATTTTTGCAGCCAGTTTCAAGAATAATTGAATAGCTAACCAAGATCCCAGCCGTTGGTCGTCGAGGCCGCCTGACTTAGTGCCCATGGATCTAATCCTATGGATATATTTGCGGAAGAATAAAGGTTCCTTATTCTTCCGTATAATCTAGACAAGAATTAGAAATACTTAGCAGTTATGAGAGGGTATCTTTCACCCCTACTGAGTTAATGAATTCCGCGAGAAACTGCCCCGTCTGTCCAGACAGAAGACGGTCGATATGTCGAACACCTGTAGCAAAATCTCCTGTCTTGGTTTGCTATTTATTTTTATAGTTATTAGATATAGTTTAAATGTGTTGATGTTGGTTAAATATATTTTAAATTGTTATAAAATTTTGCATCTCTCATAGCAAATATTATTTTCGTTTTAACTGATGCTCACAGCTAGAATTTTTTGGCATTACAGCCGGTGCCGTTCAAAGCCTACTTAATTAAAGCGGGCGAATTTTTATATACTCGATATCTCGAAGGGGAACCGAGCAAAATATCAAGTGTGTTATATTTTTGGAAAGGTAATTTAAAATTCTTTTCAATAAATTAAAAATATACAGGGTGTCCCATATAAAAAATCAAATTTTCTGTTAATAATTCTTAAATTTTTAATTTTTAAAAAATTATACTTAAACCATTAAATTCTACGTAAAAAGGTGCTTTGGAAATGTTTTCGTAAAAATACAAAATTTTCCATAGCAAAAAAGTTACAGCGATTTGTTAAAAATGCATATTTTTGAAAAACACCCCGTAACTCCGAAACGGTAACAGATATCGGTATGCGGTTTTCACCATCACGTTTTTAACAAAAATTGAGCTCCAGACACCGATATTAGTTTTTGTCTATCTCCTATAGAAAAGGGTGTTTCCATTTAAAAGCGTCGAATTTGACCCACCCTGTACATGGAGGACAACTGTACTTTAAATATTATATTTAATTTAACGTTTTTCAAACAGGGTCAGTTAACAATTAGGAACAATACTGTTTTTGTCCTTTATTGATATAATGCTGAAAATCTTACGAGTTACATGTCTCACTCTACACATATTATATTACATAGACGTAGGATGTAGATTCTATAAAAAAAAAATCCTGTATGGGTATTTCGCCACTGCACTGCAAGAAAATCTACAAAATAAAAATAATTATTTTTTTGTAAACACTTCTCACTTAAACCTAAACGGACGCTGCTTGTCAGAAGTTATGTTTACTGTAATACAAATTTGCCTAACAAAGCAAAAAAAATGCTTAACGTTTCGGAAAGTTATCTCTTTCCGTCGTCGGAAGCAAAGAAAATACAAAGAATAAAGAAAAAAACTATTTAAAATATTTAAATTCAACTATTCGAGAACACTTTACTTTTTTAAAACAGATACGTCTACAAGAAACCGTTGACGTTCTATCCGCCACATAGGTATAGACATTTTTTGTAGAATATTCTGTTATGATTTGAAAAACATGGAAATAACGACGTTATCGTATAGTCGGGGTTGGAGATTTTACTTACTCCATTTACCACACCAGTATTTATTAACGAAAAATCCAAGAATATTTTAAATGCATTATTTAACATTAGAACATTTAATAAGCTCATGAATAGCAACTTCGCTGTTTAGTTAACTCGGATATTTTAACATTTCTGAAACTTAATTCTTTCTGAAACAATATTTTCTAATTGGTAAAACGTAAAAAATCGTTAGATCTGACAACTCTGTTGAAACTGGTCGTTCATATGGCCGCAGCTATAAACGCAATACATCCGGCCAGCCGACGGCCAGGCCGTTGCGACCTGGTCGTCAGTGAGTTCGAGCCCTAAAGCTCTTGCCGCTAGTAATAAACAAATTAACAACCTATATAACAATTGTGTGTCATGTGTTTACAAAAATCTAAGTACAATCTGTGGTGCAATGTTCTAGTTTTTTCTTTCTAAATGTTATTTTCCGCGTAGAAATGAAACAGAAAAAAGTGACGGTAATATTCTGAGGTTATCCCCAAAATCTTTTTTGGATTAACTATATTTACATTTGCATTGCATTACGGGTAGTTCCCTGATTTCATCAGTGAACATTAAAACAACAAATTAATTTAGGGAAGAACTTACCAAAACGTAAGGCAAAAAAATTCACAAAAAAATACCACCCGGGTCCATTCTTACAATTCCACCCGGGCCCCTCTGGTCCAGTCCGGCCCTGGGTACTGGTTACATAGAACAATCTAATAGGAACGCGTATAAAATAAAACTCAGTATGTTTCAAAGGTACTATATATTTAAATATACGTATTTATATTAAAATATATTATCTTAAAACTTAACGAAGATAAATGAAGGTGAACTTAAGTCTATAATCACAGATTTTTAAGTAATTCAGTTGTAACTGTGTTCGTCATCTGATGAGCCCAAAAGATACACAGAAGCTGCTTCTCAGCTATCTAATGGATCCGCTATAATCAAGTCGTCTGTTTCCGCCGCACTAATAGTGATCATCATCTTTTCTTCGTTGCTCGAACTCGACTCAGACGACGCCGACTGCGTAGATGTGGCTGGCTTCTAGATATAAAAGTTTTTATTAGGATCAAGCTTGGGTAGGTAGAAAATTTTATATATTCTACGTATTTTCTACACGTAGTAGTATAATTTTAATTGTCTACACCAACTAAATTTCTACATTTTTTACATGTCCAGTCGTAGAAAATTAGTTTTGTATATCGTAAAGCTCTACGCGCACTGAAGGTGTATCAGCGCGAACGACCGACACGTGATTTTCAGTTTATGTTGAAATAAATGTAAAGGTGTACGCGCACTGAATCGGTACCAGTCCGGCGAGAAACGAAGGTGGTGACTCGACTATCGTAGATAGGTAGAGGTAGGCATCTGGCCTCTACAGGCCGAAATGTTTTAGTGGACGCCGGCGCCGTCTATATGTACGATGGTCGCAGTCGCTTTTGCTGGTCGGTCCGATCCGATGCAGTGCGCGCCCTCCTTAAGCCCGCGCACTGCATTAGAGCGGTGCGCTTCGAGCTATCGGCGCCATCGGCGGTACCCGGCGCCATCAGACGAAATCAGAGAATGCATGAGAGGGGGACGAATAGTCTACGCCGGGCGACTCTTTTTAGTGGAGCGGTTTTACATCAAACATGTCCGATAAATTATTAATCGAAAGTGTACGAGACCATATCATACTTAATAAGGGTTTTTTTTTTATAAAAATTTCTTACAAGCACGTAATCTATATTGTTTAATACACTAATTCAATAACTGAATTAGAAAACCTTCCGATTAAACCCATTTATTTCTCATCTCGTTTTGATTATCTCACATTATTATGGAAATCGAATTTAAATATCGTCAAAAAACTTATCATATTATTTAATTTTTGGTTTGTTTTGACGTTAGTAATAACAGCTGATAAATAATCATCCTATGTTACTATGTTGATCGCTCCGTACAAGGTGAATAAAATATTTGTACATATATCTACCGTATGATAGAAAAAAAAACGGCGTCCAGTTGGATGGGAAATGACGATTGATGACATTTCCCATATAAATTTACATATAAAATAATACCGACGTTCATTTCATGGCCATCGCTGATGCCATTTCTTTTCGATCATATGGTACTATAAACTAAAAACTATATATTTTTTCTTTTTGACTCTTTATTATATTTTTTCTTGACTTTTTTTATTTTATTTTAAGGTTTTAAAATTTCGGTTTTAAGTCAGTAGTGAATAAAACGAAACTTTTGTTCACATTTTGTTTAATGATTGACGTTTCGACCAATTTTAAATTCGGTCTTCTTCAGAATCTATAATATATAATACTATTTTATCACTAACAATGTGTATAATATATAATTTTTTCTTACCACAAACGTAGAACATCATTTATACGTATATTATAGATTCTGAAGAAGACCGAATTAAAATTGGTCGAAACGTCAATCATTAAACAAAATGTAAACAAAAGTTTCGTTTTATTTACTACTGACTTAAAACCAAGGTTTTAAAAACTTAAAATAAAAGCTATATACAGAGAAGACCGGGCTACTAGTAACATAGCAAGTTGCCGGACGAATTTACGTTTACCCGATTTGCGTTCGTATTCGAGATTTACTGCCGGCTAGTCGGCTGGTCAGGCAGTTGCAGTTGTGCTCGGACGGGTCGGTCGTGACAGACTAGGAATACGACACGAGGAGTGCCGAGTATTTATTATTTTCATTTTAAGTGTTTACCTTCACTTAAGGTAATATTTAAAATAAAAATACTTAAATATTTATTAATTGAATGTGTTTACAAGCCAAAACTAAAAACAAATAAATTCTCTAAACCCCAAAAAAACTAAAATATTACTCTAAATAAAAAAGTTATAACAAGTGTTCAAAAAGACCACCTTCTTGTGCTAGACAGAAGCCTAGGCGGTCGTAAAATCCCCGTCTGACAATGGCTAACATATTAGGGCTAATAGTTTGGAAAGCCTCTCGTATTTTTACTTGAAGCTCATCCAGATTATTAGTCCTATTATCAAGGGAGTTCGAAAATTTACCTGATCATGAACCTTCTTTCTCAGTTAAAAATAATATTGAATTCATTAACAAAATTAAAGATATAACATTGCATGAAGGTGAAATTTTGGTCTCCTTTGATGTATCTTCGTTGTTCCCAAGTGTTCCAATTCCACATACTTTAGGCTACTTGAAGGAATTACTGAACGCAAATGGTCTCGACAACAAAACTGTGAGTGAATATATTGAGCTTACATCGTTATGTATGAAACAAAATTGTTTTCAATTTAATAACAACTTTTTTGAACAGCGGGAAGGTACAGAAATGGGTAATCCATTGTCTCCATTTTTGGCTAATTTATTCATGAGCAGGTTTGAAGTGGAGGCTAAGAATCAGTTTGGGTATTTTCCAAGAGTATGGTTTAGGTATGTGGATGATATTTTTGCTGTTTTTGACACACATTCAGACACTATAGATAATTTTATTTCTAAGTTAAATAATCGTTTTCCTTCCATTAAATTTACGCATGAAATTGAGAACAACGACAGATTACCATTTCTAGATGTATTAGTTATTAGAAATACTAATAATTGCCTGGCATTTGATATCTATAGGAAAAATACGACCACACGCAGATATATTCCTAATGAATCACATCATAGTGTTGAACATAAAATGGCTAGTTTAAATTTCTTAGTTCATAGGTTACTTAGTTTCCCACTTTCCAACGAAAGATATGAAATAGAAAGAGATTACATTAGGAATGTAGCTGAGTGTAATGGATATTCTCCTTTACTAGTTGATAAATTAATTAGAAAACGTAGGTATAGGTTAATGATTTCTGAAAATTCGACTTTTCAAGTGGAGAAAGATACGTCTAAATATTTTTCGATACCGTTTGATAGAGAGTTATCCCGTGGTCTAAAAGGAATTTTTAAGAATGTCAATTTAAACTTGTGTATAGTACTAATAATAAATTACAACAATTATTAGGTAATCCAAAAGATAAAAACACCTCCACTGGAAAGGTCGGGTATTTATGAAATTTCTTGTAAAGATTGTAATCAGAAATATGTTGGGCAAACTAGAAGATCAATATTAACTAGATTTAAAGAACATTTAGCTCAGATAAGATATGGTAGACCGGATAAATCTTGCGTTGCCGAACATATTGTTGATAAAGAACATTGTATAGATCTTAATAATTTAAAATTAATTAAACAAGTCTCAAATTACAGGCAATTAGATGCATATGAAAGCATCAGAATTAATAAATGTAAAGATAGTATGAACAGAGTCAACGGTCCAATTCCTTCAAGTTCTTTGTTCCTACTACTCTAGTGGCGGAAATCTAACTGTTACGCTCAGTTGGCTCTGACTCGGTTGGCTAGATTTTGCCACGGCCACTCGGTGCCCACTGAGCGAGTATATAAACGCTCAACTTGTAGATTGTACTTTAGTTTATAATCATCTGCTGATGATGCTAACATGGTTAGCGAAACGCGCATCCAAAAGTAAAAGTGTTTTGGTGTATTGTGGTGATTTACTGTTTTTATTTTCCTATTATGACCATACACTTTGGATTTTACATAACCCTACAAAAAGAAATCATTGGGAGAAAAGTCTGGTGATCTAGCGGGCCACAAAATAGTTCCATGTCCACTAATTAAACGGTTGAGAAAAGTATTGTTCAAATATTCATCAGGCTTTTTGTGTTTTTGTGGGAACACGCACCCATGTGTTTCAAAATTATTAATAACTTGATATAGTAGGTAAAGATGGAATTGGCCTATTTACAAAAGTTTGTGGAAAAATTGTTTGTATATTCCGATAAAACCTATTTTGGAAATACAATTTTAAAATTTGAATTTTCTCACGAACTTCGTAAACATCCATTATTTTACTTAAAAAATAAATTTTACACGAGAACTGTCTCGAGAATCTATGTATCCGTTTTGGCTATTAAAACACGAATAAATACAAATTCTGAAACATTCTTATCACATGTCTACCTATTTTTATTTTATCGCATTTTTCGCCTGCTTTTTATCCGGCGGACGGGTATACGCTAATTCGTCCGGTTCTGCCTATGTTACTACTACAGTGGTCCGGCCTGTATATAGTATTGTCAAGGTGTATTACTGGTTGCATAACTGCATACTGCTAAATAATCGCAACGTGCATTGAGGAACCTGGCGCATTCGCCAGAAAGTAAAAGAAAATTATAGAATTCTTTAGAAAATTCCAGAAACCATCGCCAGGGGGTATATAAGACCCGCGCTTTGACAGTTGGACAAGTCTGAAGATAGTCTGAAGTCTGAAGTTTGAAAATACCGCGAAATACCGTTAGAGTAATAGTAGTTGCATAAGTTGTGTTGTAAATAGTATAAGTTGTGTGTACAGAGTGAAACAAATAAATTCGTTAAGTATTTTATCGTGAGTTTAAATAGTGGACCCACGGAATCCGTAACAGTATATAAAATTATTTTATAAATGTTTGTAATGACACTTATTTAGATTAAAAAACTAAAAATAGAAGTTTTATTTGACTATTTTTCATATCTAGCTTTGTTTTTAAAGAACAAATTAAACCCTTTTGAATGACACCAAATTTGTTAAAATCGGTCAAGCCAAGAGTAATGTAGTATTTTTTATCCCCATCTTCCACTCTATTTCACTAATTTTATGTGGTTTTTTAAGATCTAACACAGGATCTAAATACATTAATGTGTTTTTGGTTAAGATCTAAATAATATTAATTTCCAACATAAATCATAAAATATAGAAAGTTGCATAAAAATATACATAGTAATAATACTTTATAATTTTTTGAAATACCGAATGAATTTGACTAAATTTGAATAAACTTCTCCTCGTCTATGTTCAAATATATGCTGGTGGCGTACCCTCGACCGTCGATCGTGCGATTCCAGTGCGCGGCTACCATCGACTTTCCGACCGGACGTGTCGTTCGCTCGCGCCGATACCCCTTCAGTGCGCGTCCTCCTTAAGCCGTATTCTTTAGTTTTTATTTATTTCAAAT